AAAGGCTACGACGGTGACGAACTGTGGGCATCAGAAAACGTGTGGAAACATCCCGTCATCGCGACCGCCCTAATTGTCTGCAGCGCTGATGCTGTGGCACTAGATGTCCCCGTTCCTGTTCCCAATGGAGCATTGGCCCCGCGATTGATTCTAGCACTCGGACATGGGCAATAGGTCTTGCCTTTGCACGTGCTGTCGACACGACGTTTAGTTTCGGGCGCATTGTAACGAACAACAACATGTCCCTGCGTATATGTGGCATGTCATGCCTGTGCCCGCATCTAGAGATGTACAGGCAGAAATTTATGTTCAAGAAGAGGAATTTAGGATGCACCAGAGGACAGCAATACATCGCCTCTGCCTGTACATCGCACGCAGACAAGGAAGGACGAGCAGGGATGGCCACCACATGTGCTTTCATGCTCAAAGTGATTGTATGCGTACAGCAGACTCCGTGCAGGCTAGCAGATGCCATACATGATGTACGTGCAGTGCATGCTGTACCGCAGAGTTCCACGCCGGCTAATGCTCACTGGAGGCATCCACTCAAGTGTAAACAACAATTTTGCTGTTTGACCCTTCCTCACGCCTCTCGCACAGCTGATTGGAATGATGCCAGTGTTTCCAGACTTGCGACACGCTTTTAGCGATTTGAAAATCGCTCCAGGAGACATGAAGATGCGGATGCCTGATGGGAGCCATCACAACACCACAACTGTTCCCTTGTTTCGGTTCATCAGGAAAAACAAAGACACAATCGATTTCGTTTGATTGCTGATCTGCCAGGGGCCCCACGGGAGCACCGAATTTCTCTTTTTCCATTTTTTCGAGATTGATCATTCTTTTGGAATCGAACACACTTGCGGGCTCTACATTGCCTCGCGCTCTCTTGCTAGGTATCACAAGGCCCGCATATCTAGTGATAGGACCAGGGAGACTCCTAGACACAGAAACGTGATGCAACATTTTGGGGAAAGAAGAGAAAATGGCACAACCATAGCACAAATCGAGCTTGGTGTTGTTACACACGGTTAGTATACGAGTGCGCACTACGTCTGGCATATCATAGCATAGAAATTAGCAAAGATATCATCAAGCACGTACACTTTGGCCATTGGCAGCTCTACCCACCGGCAAAACACCCACATAACGCCCGGCCCCCCAATGGAGCCAACTATTGCAATAGCGCCCCGTTTTCCTTGGCATCAATTTCGCAGTACATTACGCAGTCCTGCTGTACAACGGAACCACGAAATCGTATGTTGCATACTCAAACGCGCCCAGAAGAGGTATTTGGTAGACCTGCAATGTTCGTTGGTCGTGCAGAGAGTCGGGGTACAGATAGAAACGTTGTATGAGGTGTTTTTGATCACCACCAGAACACCGGTGGTCCCACACAACCATTCCCGTCATACAATTTGCAGTAACAAGTCAAGTTTGTAGCAGGCTAAGAGAATCATTACGTGATTTGTGATATTGAGATATTCTGTCCAACATTGCCTGTGGTACGAATCGGAACCCAACACTGACATAATCAAAACTACAGTCGTATTTTTGCAAATAAACTGCAGAAGTGGAAGGAACTGAATGTATAGCTCCAGGCCAAGCCTCCAACACAGTGCTCCAATGCTGTGCCATTACGGCACAGGACACGCCAGTTTGATGGGTCATTTTGGCATTTGAACAGCTTATCACCGGCTCGAAGCGGTGACACACTTATGGGCTGCACCAACTCAGTGACCCTTTGCACCAAATTGGCGGCTGCTTGCACCAAATCCCTCCACAACTCACCTAACCTGACCCCTAAACCTAAACAAACATAAACCTAACCAAGCAATCACCGGTTTGGTGCAGGCAGTACCGTATTTACCCGGTATTAGTAGGCACGTATTGGACCCTCAAAATGGGCAGTGGATACTAATAGTGAGTCATGGATACTAACGAGGCTAAGACCCCCTCATCCAAGGATTGCAGAGAGAAAAATTTAAAATAGCCATTGAAATGCACAAAGGAGCGTTTGAAACAATGCAAGATGTGATGCATAGGTAGCGACATTACCCAATCAAAATTAATACCATTTCCTCGAAACGGGGGCTTCCACGTCAGGAAGGCCAGGAGCATAAAATTGCGTGAATGTTACGAAATTGAATTTTCGCCAACCAGGTCGCCTATTCTCGTGCAGGCCGACATCAAATGAGCCGTGCTGCGGCGCACGTGGGCTTAGCAATCCCCGGCTGTACTGCCGCCGGTCGCGACCGAACGCCAGCTGGGGGCGAGGGGGGGTTGGGGTGTGGCTCGAACCCCACATCAGGGCGTTGACCATCAGCGCGACGCCGTTGACCGCCAAACGCGTGCGCTGACTCGCGCTGACACGCGTTCACTCGCCGCTGGAGCCCGGGTGGGGCCCAAGGGATTCTGTGGAGCCTCGAGGCTGCGCTCCATGAAGATGGCGACGGCGCCGTCGCCATGCGCTGCCGCCGTCGCCCGCAAGGTGCAAGGGCACCGCATGCCTTTCGACGGCAACTTTGAACAAAGGCAATTTCATGCGAAGGATTTGTCAGTCATCGGGTCGGCGCGCGACGTGATCGCAAGGCCCTTGATCCCATGCGCCTGGCGAGGGCTCTGGCCCCAGGCATGCATTCGGAGGAGCAAAATGCTACCGGGTTGGATCGAGGAGGGATGGATGAAGATGGAGGTGGAGAATCTTCAGCGTTGGGCGGACGGGGTGCGGTGCGGCGACGCAGAACCTTGGACGGGGCGACCCCGCCCATTCGACCAGCACCCTTGGTCGTGCCCGCTCCGTGCGTTCAACGGCATTGGCGGCCTCGCGTCGGTGGCGGAAGCGGGAAAGGAACAGTCCCGTGGAGATCGCGAGGCGACGGTGCTCTTATCCCTCACCACCGGCGGCATCGGAATCCTGGGCTCCGCGGCATCGGTGCCCGTGAGTGTGTGTCCTTTCGCCGGAGCTGCGTCCGACATCCCGGGCCCCGCGAGGTCGCGCCTCAAAAGGCCCAGCTGTCGCCCTGCCCATCACCCTCCGACAAGTTGCGATGGCCCGGCACCGCCCGCCCCCGCTAAGGCAATCCGCGGATTCAAGCGCCCGGCACTGAGATCACGTGCCGCCATAGTGGCCAAACGGTCGTCCCAAATCCCGCACACTAATTCCGCTTGTACATCCCGGCCGCGGCCTCGATCGCTGCAGTACACTCCATAAACACGGCACCACCCTGTTGACACCCCCCACAGCGCAAACTCCCCAAGCCCAAAGCGCACCCCAGGACTGACCCAGCCGCCGCCGGCCGGGGCGCCGTGGGTCAGGTGTTCAACACCCCGTCAGCGCTGGCCCGCTGCCCGCCCCCCTTCCGATCCGGCCGGCGATACCGAAGCGAGGGCGAGGGGGTGCGCGAGGCGTCGCGCCGCTCACGGTGCGCCAACCCCAGATGCGTGACGCCGGCGCTTCTTGCGATCGGCGGCGAAAGAACGCTCCCTGCTGCCGGGCTCCTGTTGGCACGATGGCAACAGTCGGCAGCGTGGTTTCGAATAGAGGGGTCAATTTTATCGGACGGCCGAGATTGGACGGTCCTGGTAGTCTCGGTAGTTTGCTGTAGGGTAGTGGGGAAAAACGTTTGGCTTTAGTGTGGTGCGAAGCGCTCGCCTGCCGCCAGGCTTCTGTCGGCATCATGCCTCCAATCGGCCGCTCAGTTTCCCAAGAAGGGGCCGATTTTATAGGACATCTGAGATTGGACCCTCCCGTTGGTCTCGGCGTTGCGTGGGATGGGCATCGGGGCCAACCGCTGGCCTTGTGCCTGCGCACGAAGGCGTGAGGAGTTTTCCGCCGCCCATGTGAGGCTCTGTGGCGCCTGTGGCGCTTGGGGCGCGCTTGGCGTGGCGACCGTCGAGAGGGGCTGTGAGTGGCGTGATCGGTGGGCTCGTTTGCTTGGGGGCTTTCTGGGAGATCAAAGGGGGACTGAGCCGATGGCAGCCAGGCTCACACTGTTGGCGCCCGTTGATGCGGAGCCGAGGAGGAGACGGGTGACCGATTGGTAGTCACACAGCTCTCTGTACGTCTCCCACACGGACCATGCACGCGGAGATGGGTCAGGATTTGCCTCTTTTTAGGTTGGTTTTTAGGGTTGGGTTCGTGGTTTAGTATAGGTAGATTTAGGGTCTCTGCCTCCGTCTCGTCTCCGTATCACCGGCAGTCTGAGCCGTCGTAAGGAGCGGTGCGGGTGGGGGGTGGTAGGCTCCCAATGTTGCTTCGGGGGCCGCGAGGCGATTTCGAAGCAAGTGCCGAGGAATGAGGCGAATTCGAGTCGAAACAATTGGACGATGGGCGGGGTGTGGTGGGGAAATGTGGCTGAAAGAAGCGGTGGTGTTGGCGAGTCACCGGCGGAGCGATGGCCAAAGCCAAATGGGCATTGCCGCTCTGGGCACCCGCCTCCGTGGGAAGGGGGAGACCGGCGGTAGAGGCACACGACGTGCATTTCCGATCCCTCAGGATTCAGTCCCGGCCCACTTCAAGTCAGGTTGGGCGTCCGCAACTCGACAATATCTGAATGTGGCCGGCATGGTGCATTTCGAGTTGGCGTGGCAAGTGACGCCATTTCGGCCGTTCATGGCACGGGTCGATGCAAGCAGTCGCCAATTGCACTCCAAGTACATCTGTGTACACTCATATACTTCAAATATTGTTTTCTGTGGATTTCTGTGGGCATCATATATGTCACCGTTTGTTCGTTTTCTTTTCATGCTGCCTTGGCACACTGGTGAACAACGGCAACAACGGCCGACTTTAGATGGCGGGAATCAGTCCATGTTTGAAGGTTAAACTTCTCAGCAACCTTGAATGGCACACTTTGCACCACTGTTGCATTTGCTTAACCATTTAAGGCCTTTCATGCACGGGATTCAAAAATGCAAAATATCCAATTTTTCGTCTCGTTTGCTATGACCTGACTTGGCGTCACTGCCCCGCAGGCCGGGCGTGCCCCGGAACAGCGATGCGGTCCACGGCCGGATTGTGGTGGTGGTTGATGACACTTGCGGCATGCCGGGGAAGCCCGGAGGAGCACGTTGACTGGCATCAGGTTAGTTGCGATACCACTTGTGAGAAGTTCTGCTGGACGTTGCCTGCTAAATTGACGGTCATTTTTGCTCCACTGGTTCACACATCCCACAACGTATGCACTATATATGTTTCGGGCCATATTTGAGCTTACGTTTTTTACACTTTGAGCATTATTCTGCTTGAAATATATGCATTTAAAATTTAAGTACATCTCACATTTAAAACTTTCTAAATACTTTTGAATACTTCAGTATTTTCAGCATATTATTGGCAGGTTTCACTAGTAGAACGGGGTATTTTCAGGACCAGGTCCTGGCGTCCAGGACGGCGTCCGAGACGGGGTCCCGGACGCAGAGTCCCGGACGTATTTTGGCCATAACCGGAACGGTCCGGGGGGGTCCTAAAGGGTCCCGGACGGAGTTCGGCGGTACATGCCAACAATGACTGATGGCGTCCCGGACGGGGTCCTGCGAGCTCTGGACAGGGTCCTGCGAGCTCTGGACAGGGTCCTGCGAGCTCTGGACAGGGTCCTGCGAGCTCCGGACGGCGTCCGAAGGGATGACATCCAGGACGGGGTCCCGGACGCCGTCCTCATCAGCCAGGACGGCGTCCGGGACTGCCGTCCTGACACCCCCTGGTGTGAACATTCACCTGCACAGTTGGTGGCATGGTCCGCAATGCGTCAGGACGCCGTCCGGGACGCCGTCCTGGCTCAAGACCCCGTCCTAGGTGGCATGGTGGCATCAGGACCCCGTCCCAGACGCGGTCCTGGACGCCAGGACCTGGTCCTGAAAATACCCCGTTCTACTAGTATTTGTTGTTAGCTCTTGTTTGTTATTGGTGCCAGACAGCTTTGTGTGCATCGCTGCACTTTCCCTCTGGCTTGAACCTACTTGCCATGGCAGGTCAGATTGAGTGCCTGTGCAATTGCGGGCAATGCGAAGCGCGTTAAGCTGGCTGGAAGAAAGAAGAACAATCCCTCAGTGACCAAAACTGTTCCCAACAACACCTTCCCTGCAGAAAGCGCGGACTGACCCGCTCCTGGCGAAATGAACACGAGCTTTCCCATTTTTTCCGACCGGCAGTCAGAATAGTGGGAAGCATATGCGTTTCCACGTTTGCACGAGTGAAGCGCACGATTTTGGAAGACATTCGACCGTGTTGCCTCCCAGGCGCGTGCGGCATCGGGACTGATTCTTGGCCCTACGTGATGCCAGTTTCGCGAAGGGTGAAACGGCCAACAATTCACTGGAGAACGCACTGAATTGCACATTGTTTCCCGCTTGATCCCTGTCCCGCTTTCGAGCAGCTTAAAATGTGGGAATTGGACAGTTTTCCCAAATCCACACAGGTTAATGGCAGCACATGTGATGGGCTTCAGTCTTTGTAGATTTTCTTGTAGATATTCTTGTAGATATATGTCCTTCGCAGATATTCTTTGTAGGTTTCTTCGTCGATTGTGTATTGCAATCCATATGGATTGTACAAGCATGAGCTGAGTTGCCTTTGGCCCCCCGGTACCAGGATCCTGACGCATGCCACGGGGGCGGCCGGCCCGCCTCCCGCCACCTCCTCGCCCCCTCCGCCGGCGGCATCACGGCCCAGGAGGCGCAGGACATACTCCGCGGCTACAGCATCGACCCCGGGCCCATCCTGTACATGGGCAAGACGGCGGACTGCCCACTGGCCCAGTTGACCACCAACGAGACTTTGACTCTCGTCGACTTCTGCACCAAGGGCAAGAGCATGCGCAAGTGCCGGGGAAGGGAGAGCCGGAAACCGGGCGAGGCGCTGCCGCAGTTCCAGATGTCGTGCCGGAACCGGTCCTGCGTCGAGATCCTCCCGGTGTCCACCACGGCCTGCGTGTTCAAGGGCGTGCTGGACATACCCCTGGCGCAGACCGTCAATAAATCGTGCGAGTTTAAGGTTCCCCATCTGACCAACGACACGTCGAAGCTGTTCTCTCCAACGTTTTTGACCACGCCCGGCCTGGGCCCCACCTACGACTGCATCATCGGCTGGCCCGCCGACACGACGTTCCAGTTCAAGCTGGTGTGCGTGGATGGCTTCTTTCGGATCAACATGACGTACGCACTGGGGGGCGGGGAGCTGGCGCCCCAGGGGGCGGGATTTGACTGCATTCGCGATGTGCGGTGTGGGGGGAGGAAGGGCGACGGGGCGGGCCTCTGGTTCGAGTCGCAGTTTATCTGCTACCTTCCGAAGGGCAGCGCGGTGGCCTTGACGGGATCGGCGGCCACCACGGGGATCCATCGGACGCCTTTGCTCCTGGCCTGCTTACTGGCCCTCATGTTCTTGTAGCTCTTTGTTCTTGTGCTTTCGTCCCTATGTCCGATTTCGTTGCTGTTGCGCACGGCGCACTCAGGCTTTTCACGCATTTTTGCGCATTTATATGCAACTTTTATGCATATTTTGCCACGTATTATTACGCGTAAGAATGTAAAAACTATCTTTATGTGTAAAAATGTAAAACTATTTTTACGCGTGAATAAAGATCATTTGCAAAACATTTTCACATGTAAACGCTCGAGCATTTACGCCGTAAATGACAAGCCTGGGCGCACTAGGGCTTTGCCGATTGCGGCAGCAGCTCCATTCGTCGAGGAGGCGATGCGGAAGCTGGTCGCCTCAAGGCGATGATTCATATCCCGATGCTGCGCAGCTGCTGGCGTGTCGCTGTTTTGGTCTGAACCACGCCAAGCTGGCCTGTCTGTTGGCGCTGCAATCATGTTTTTTCAGCACCCTCGTTCTGCAAAATTTCAGGACTGCAGGTTCCTACGCACCTGCCAGCTAATTGGACCACGGGCACATGATCTAGCAGTAGTGTGAACTAGTACTGTGGCTTGAATCGCTGGGTACGCATCCGGACGAACTATGCGATTTTTCTGCAGGCTTCTCCACTGTGCTCCATTCCATCACGTACCTGCGCAGAACTTTCACACTTTTTTCGTGTCTATTCATGCTAGCAGATTCTGACGCACATTCTGTGCTCGAGTTGGTGCTGTGAAGGCACCGTCGAATGTCGCCCACCGTGCAGGGTCGCCCGTCTTCACTCGAAAACCACATAGAAAAGAAAGCGCAAAGGAATATTCCCACTGTGGCGCGTAACACGCCGTGTAACGCTTTCTCCAGATCGCTTCCTCGCCCGCAGAATGCTGACCTTTGTCAGCCCCCAGACACTGTGCAAATGCGCAGGACGGAAAGGAAAGCTTTGGAGAATGAAAGGGCGAGAAAAAGAAGCGGTTTTTCGTCGCTTTTCTTTTCCTTATTCATGCGCTGTTTGGTTTTCTCAATTCAAGAACGATCAAGGATCCAAGCTCAGCAGGCATCAACCACGATGCCGTTGGACGATTGGAATGTTGCAGCAAATAGTGGTGTTCCGCATTCGCTGTGGGCGCCGTGGCCAGGCGGGATGTGCGTTTGGCGCCGCTCCTTGCCACGTGCATGTGAGGACAGGCGTCACTGGATGTCTGCAAGATCACTACAGAACATCAGTGTTTAGGTCGACACCATGTAAAAGGCACCATTTGGGGAGAGTCGCCGTTTCCTGCAGCCTCGCTAAGCTGAGGTCACGAGGGCGCCAAGTTGCTATGACGAAGCTTGGAGCTCGAAAGAAGCACGGCAATAATGCAATTCGGTGCATGGTCAAGATGACTACCGCTGCTCATGGATTCTGCGAATTGGCATCAATCGAAGGGAGGATTAAATCGTGGATATGGCCAGAATGCAAATTTGCTTTTTGGTAAATGTAAATTTAAGCGGAACCAAGTATCTGTGAATGCTGTCCTGCAGTTGCACTGGCGCTGTGATTTTTCTGTGTCTTACCAGACCGCATAGTGATTGCCACCGTCAGCCATCCTGGATATCGAATAGACATGGTGGTCTTCACATCGTGGATATCACATAGGGTATGGGCACTAATTCTGAATAAATGTGTCTGGGACATAGTCATTTCTAGGATGTGTCTATCCAGGATGTGCAACTTCCTCCACCATTCCACCGGGGCAGTTTCTACAATGCTGGAATTCCAAGCTCGACAGCGAGAGAGGTGCTATCGCCGTCATTTTGGGACGTCAGTCAGCGGTCGACGTAACACGAATGGACGTGCAGCCCGTGCGGTCACATCATGAGGGTCGCTGTCACTTCAGCGTGGGTTTGTGCGTAAAAAGCCCTGGACTGCATACACGCCCATCATCACGAGATGCAACGTCACCGAATAGCCTTGCTGTGGGCACTTTAAAGGGCGACAGCATGGCTCTGTGCTGTCAGGCCAGCTAATTCAGCCATTGAAGGCAACATTATAAGGAAACGTTCAGCCTGCAACGCCATCACGCGAGGTGATCGTTTTGTGGCGGTGGTCGCATCCCCCACGTCGACCCGCCATCGCACGTTTCGCCACCCCCAGGTGCGCAACACGCATCGGGTGACAGCCGTTCAACACACGCTGCGCACCCGGAGGTATTGAGCCTGAGACGGCGATTGGGAGCAACTCTCGATCCCATGCAGCGCAGGCGAATCAAGAATCAACTCGTGTGGCCTCGTCCCTGGAAGGAAGCCGCTTGCGATTGGGAGGCGCCTGAGACATTGGCAGAGAGACGCCTTGTCACACAACACCGGAGGCGAACCGTATCACATAGAATCGCATCGCATCGAAACTGTGGCGAGTTCCCGAAGGGGGCTGCAAAATCTCCAGGTGCCACGCTGACGTCCTGGGAAGGCCGCAGCTGGGGGCGTTGGTCACGACTTCGTTCCCGGCCGTGCGGGCGCTACAGGGCGGCGAACAGAAGGGCCAGCGCGGGGGCCCCAAGGAACAGGGCTTGTCTGGCCCCCCGGCCGGCCGCCCAATTCGTCAACGCCACCCTGCTGCCTTTCGGAAGGTAGCAAATGAACTCCCCGTCGAACTGCAGGCCACCGTCCTCGCCCTCACCCCCGCAGCGCGTGTCCCTGATGCAATGGTACTCGGCCTTGCCCGGCACGAGCGGACCGGACCCAAGAAAAGTTGATACTTCCAGGCTGAAGAAGCCCTCCACGCAGACGTACTTGATCAGCACCGTGCTGTTTGTGGGCCACGCGAAGAGGCAGTCGAAGATCGACCGCTCCCCATCCGGCGTCAAGAAGAAAGGCATGTGCAGATTGAGGGCGTCGTCCGTCTCCGGCACGCTCAGCTCGCACGACCTGTTGACGGTCTCCTCCAGGGGGATGCCTAGCCTGCCATTCAGGTTGCACGCCGTGGCCGAGAAAGACAGCGAATCCACGCAAGTCTCGTTCTGGCAGGTCATGTGGAACAGCGGCCTGCCTTCCCTGCCCCTGCAGGCTCTCATCCTGGCGGTGGAAGCGCAGTACACGGTGAGTGTGGCCGTGTCGTTCTCCGGCAGGTCCCGCAGCGGGCAGTCCGCGGTTTTGCCCATGTAGAGTATGGGGCCGTGCTCTATGCCAAAGCCCCGCAGCGTTTCTTCCGCCTCTTGGACCGTGAAGCGTCCGGCGGAAGGGGCGAGGAGGTGGCGCGAGGGGACAGCCACATGCTCGCGCCCAGTCTGCACCTCCTGAAACATGGATCAGGCCAGAGTGTCGATGTGAAGGCATGTGTTGAGTTCCTGTTCGGTGCACATTCCGTTCTTGTGCTTGGTGCACTTACGCATGCTGCACTTTGCTTGGGGAGTGAATGGATGCCAGGGAGATTCAAAAATGTGCATCGTGAGAACCGGAAAAAGGGTGGGACAATGGCGATGGCCTGACCCAATGCTCATGGACACAACCGATCGGAGGCCGGGGAATATGCTACATCGCAATAAAAGCATCTCTGCTGGTGTTTGCTATTGTACCGGCTGTGCTAAGCAGAATGATTATCGCCGCCTTGCCAACATTGCAAGGCGGGATTCGCCTAACAGCACCAGTGCTGCTGCCTCCCTGCTGTGCGTCCGCAACAGTGAGTGCCATTGCCAAGGCCATTTTAGAACATGACCACAATCATGGCAGACTGTTTCAGCACGAACAGCACCCAGTGCTATTCTGGGGTGCTATTTGGCCTGCAGAAATGCTATTCAGGTTCTGAATAGCACCGCCCAGGGTCAACTAGCAATGGGGTGCTGTTGCCCCCCACCTGTTTATGATGATCTTGGACCTGCGGCTCCATTCATATGGCCACATAGCACTGCTGGGACAGTAGCACCCACCATTAGAGATGTGCTCACAGTCAAAACTTGTGATACAGCTGAGGCAGCAGCTTGGTGGCTGTTCTTTTCAATTCTCTGGTGTCCTAATGACATCGCTGTGTGTGATTTAAGAGCACTAACTGTATGTGAACAGAATTGCACTCTGGGTAACTTGCTTGTTCATTGATTGATTGATTTGTACACAGAAGAAATGAAGAATAATCGAGGGCCTTGAGTGATTTATCCATGGAAGCTGTACAGTATAGTACATCAATGCAGAAATTCCGTCCCAACAAATCACTGAAATGCCATAGCGTGGACATAAGAGAATTCAACCAAGGAGCCTCTTGCAGAGTGAATGCAACGCAGTTTGGGTACAGAGACATCGCTAAAGCCCGTGGCATTGCACAGAGTGCGGGACGTTACAGAGGGAGAATCACACAGGCTTCTGCAGTGAATGCACAAGCTCTTGTAATTTATGTAGGCTATGTGTATTTGGTGTAACTTTACTCTCTTCACTTTATTACTCTTGTTCACCCTAGATATTGCCAGACCTATGGATAGAACTAGACATTACACAGCCCTCCTATTTTGTCATGTGTTGCAAGAAAATTTCATTCTGATCGTCGATCCACTCAAATTACGAACCTTCATGTATTCCCCAGGAGTCTGAGTATCTGGCAAACTTTGGACGAAATGGCAGAATTTGGACGAAACGCCCTCCACGGTCTTGAAAATCAAGCTTGCCTTAGACATTCTCTAATAAAATTGCACTACAGGGCAACTGACTTCGCTGCAATAGAGCAGTGTTTTCTACCAAACCACGAGGCTGACAAACTCCCTTCGCACTGGGCTGTGAACTCAGGCGAATTGGGGATATGGAACTGCTTTGGGCAGGGTCTGTGGGCAGGAGATATGCTGAGAAGGATAAAGGAATGAAACTTTCATAGTCTGGGACTATGAAATGCAGCATTCTGGGCAGTGAGCGATCCAGAAAGTGTAACTGCAAATTGGTCGACTGGGTAGTTTGAACAACAACAATACGAGGCAATGTGCCTGATTTGCAGACCACATCAGCGCATATAAATAAGCAAGGAACTCAGTTCTTTCTGTGCATGTGCTTATGCGATTCGGCATCTCCTAGACCCCGTAAATGCACCACAATACACAGCGCATGCAGGTACTTCCACAGGAGTGTTGCACAGCATGAGTGGCTTTGGGACATTTTGCCTTTTGCATTTGTGTGAAGGGCGCACCCACGGCTGGATTGCGACGCACCTCGTGCCAGTCAGCTTGGGCTACAGGGCCTTGCCAGCTTCCTGTGAGAAGTACCAGCCACCACAACATTGCAGCAGCAGCCGGCATGGCCGCACTGTGACGCCCCAGGCCTGCAAGACAACTGCTCCCAAGTCAGGCCAGCACCATTTGGACTGCCCATCGCACAAAGCTCGCGGCACACATGCCAGCAAAGATTACAGCCTACTTCGAGCATTTTCTAGCTGTGTCCGATCGCAAGAACATGGGACATCAACATGTGGTTTGTCAAACCGTTAAACTGTGCTGAAACGGGACTGTATCGTGTTCCCTTAAGCCGTGTCTGCAGTGTCGGCTTTCACCAATGGCAGGGGAGCTGAGTGTGGCAAACAACTACTGGGTGAACTGGCCACTGCCTGTGACTAACTGTCAGGCGACGTTTTTTTTCTCCAGTGGAATAGCAGCACATGCAGCAATGCCTGTGTCTTGCACATTGTTTGTGCGGGTGCGACTGGCAGTGCCAAGTGTCACGCGCTGGGCCTCCGGTCGAAAACAAACTGGGAGTCTAGTTTAGTTCAGTTAAGAGTTCATTTTAGTTTAGCATACTTTAGTTAAGTACAGAGAATTTAGGCTGGACGTTGCACTTTAGTTTAAAGTTAGCGCTTAAAAGTTAGATTTAGTTTAGAGCTTAGTTCTGTTTAGAAAGTCAGCGTTGTGTCCAGCTTTTGTTGGTGGTTCGGCCGATGCGGGCGCCAGGTCATACTCCATTGTCTGGCATCGCTCGCGTCGCTCCGTGAGAATCGCATGAAGGGCTACTTCTCCGCCTTTTTCTTTTCGCTGCCCCTCAGTTCCACCCTAGTCGTATCTCGTGAGCGGGCGCCCATCGGGCAAGCCCGCACAGCCAGTGAGCCCATCATCACACCGCAAGCAAGTGCAAATCAGACAGGCTGCTGGTCACCAATCCCAGCACAGACATCCCATCGCACTTGTGTGACGGCTCATTCAAGCCATGTTGAAAATCACGGCAACGGGGCGATCTTGGGTTCCCCAAAATTTTTTAATACGGTTTAATACTTTGCAATCTCATCGCGCGATGGTCTGGGACCTCGCCCGCTGCCTTGGTCCCGCCCCAAGTTCGCAGGAACTTTGCAGCAGGCCCTTGCGCTGGTGCGCTTTCCCCACCACAGAGTCGCGCCGGGCTGCAGGGGTGGCGCTGCACAGCCCCCGATAAGGTCACGATATTCTGGCCCGAATGTCACTGGCCCAAATTGTCGCCAACATCAAGAATTCACACATATCGAGGCGAAGAGGCAGCCTGCAGCTCCCAATTTCGCTCGAGCAAAGCAGTGCCCATGACTTGTTTCAAGAGAAACCAAGGCATTGCCACAGTCCAACCACTGAGTTGTTGCGCATCAGAATGTGCGTACGCACAAATTCGGTGTCATCAACCCTCTTGACCCATTGTTGGCAAGCTGCCACCATCATCACATTCATTCATTCGTTCATTCATTCATTCATTTTGCGTAACAAGGCAGTGAGGTAACCAAATTGGTTGGCCAAACTGTTGGTCAAATTGTCAAAGTTGGCCAAATCGTCGCTGACCCCCCGCCGATCCCTAATCGATCCAACAAACGTCCCCATCCGCCCCCGTAATGGCGAATGCCCAATCGCAGCGCTCGGCGCCCCACCAGAGAGGGCGAATCGGCATACGACACTTTCGGCCCCCACACCCCCACGCCGGCAACCCCACCCCACCCACCCCCCCTCCAGCACGGATCAGCAGGCCACCAACAAGGCCAAAAGACGCTTTCTCAGAACGCCGAGAGCGGCGCGAGAAAGCGAGCGAGCGGCCCCATTTCGAGCGCAACATTCCCGCCGTCCGAGAAGGGGCCCCCAAGTTGCCCGTGGCGTCAGCCCCAAAATCTCGATCTAACCCGGCGGCACATTCCCGACCCCCCCGCCCTCCGGGGCAGGGGTTTGGATAGGATGATCCCAGGGCCAGGGCATGGCAAGCGGGAATCGCAATCGCCGCGCCTCGCGGAGGATTTGCAGCGCGGGGTGCGTGGCGCTGTGCTCACCGGCAGGGGTGCCTCTGAACGCGCCGGGTGGCGACTGCGGGGCCGATCAGCGGGGCGACGAGGTTTGTTCGGGTGCTGGCCACCTGGGCAAGGGCGTTTCCGGGCGCGGGGGGTGGTTTTGTCCAGCGGTCTGGGGCGGCGGGGCGGAGGGTTTGGCGTTGATGGTGGGGGGCGGGGTGGGGGCTGGGGGCTGGGGGGTGGGGGGAGGGGGGAGGGTGGCGAGGATCGACGACCCGGCTAACGTGTACTGGATGGTACTGCACGTCCCAAGCGCCGCTGGACCGGTGCAAGGGGGTCGATGAGTTAGTGGGTTGGCGCGTCAGTGCGCGGCGGCCTCGGAAGCGCCGATTGGGTTCGGGGGGAAGGGGGGGCTGGCATCACCAGCCGTTTCCGGCACGAACGAGAGTATCGTATATGTCGAGCGGCTGACCCCGAACCGCCCAACCCTTCCGTCGCCTCCGATACTTCACCGTATCGCGCTGGTCTGTGTCACACTGCCCCCCATGCCGACCGCTGACGGGGAGACGGAGACCAACTATGTGGATTCCTTGAGCCCTGACCCCCAGTCGCCCCATCCTTATCCGACTCCACCTCCGCCCCATTCTCCTTCGCTCCTCCGTGTCAGCGGTCTGTGTTGCGCTGCTCCTGATGCCGATAGGAACACGGAGACCAAATGTGTGCACGCCTCGAGCCGTGACGCCCAACCGTCCAGTCCTGGCTCGTCTCCTTCACACCCTCTATCGCGCGAGTGGCCCTGGACGTGGCCATGATACATTTTGATGGGCAATGTATTGCGGGTACTGCACGAATGGTGACATGCACGTCAACGCCATATGTAGGAAATAGTCTTGTTTTTCACCCTCTTTGTCTCTGTATCCATAGTCTGTATCTGCCAAACTGTTCCCGATCCCACTGATATGGAAGTGGAGGCCGAGCACATACATGTTTTGAGCCTCAAGGCCCAACACCCAATACCGACTCGTCTATGTCCTTGCTTCGTCTTCGTGTCAGGGCTCTGTTTTGACTTGGGCCCTTGATACGAATCACATTCCCAGTATGTCGGGAACACCCTTGGCCCGAGGATGTTGCCAAGAGCCTTGGGTATCGAGGCAAGGAGGTGGAAGGGCTGGCGGGTCAAGCCCACATCATAAGCGAGTGACAAACGTTGTTATTTGCTTACGATGCCGTGATCTTTATTGCGATATCTTTTACAATGTCACGACATGTGTCATGGCATGCAAGCCGGGCGGTGTCTAAAGGGAAGGGTGGTGGTGAGCGTGAGTGGGTTTAGTGAGGCCGTGGTACCCAGCAGCGCATGCTTTCGGCACGACGGAGGAGTTCATTTGCCAAAGTACTGCAAAGTACTACACTTTGCGCCGAATGTTCCAGAAAGGGTGTTTCTCAAACAATATTGCGTCGGCGATGAGAGTACTGACGTGGGCGGGGTCGCCTGGGGCTTGCTCGCCTTGCCTGATTGATCTTTCCCCACGTGTGTAGAGCCCAACTCGTGAAATGGTGCCTTGGTCAGGTCTCAAAAGCGGGAGCTGCGATCTGGGCCACAGGACGGCCAGCTCAGGGGGGTGGTAGAAATAGTCGGCGATGAAGCTTCCCTTGCCTTTCTGTGTAGACAGAAGGCCGCAAGGAAAATGCTCGCGGATTACTGTAGTCGAATGATGACTAAGTATCCCACGCTGCTGGGACATCCCGCGGAGCATTGTGCGAGGCAAGTCTTGTAAGTGTCTGAGGTTTGGGGTGCCGCATTTGCACTGCTGCTTTTCCGACAGCAGTGCCGCACTCTACCAAATAGTTGCTACATATTCGTCCACACAGTGGTGATGATTCCGCGACAGCACATCTTGCAATGCGATGTGCAGCACAACACGCGCTGCAGTACGCGCTTTCTTGGTTCGGAACCTCTCTATTCAGGCACAGCCATTGCCAATTCGAATTGCACGAGTACGTGGGGCCACGCCGATCGACTCCCAAGCAATACGAGGCCACCCTCTGGGTCCAGAGCACCCGCTGCGCTCCTGCCCTGTGCCCGATTCACCACATTACAAAAATTCATTTCAATGAAATCCCAATGCGCTCGTCAACGGTGCAAAACGTCGCCGAACGTCGTCATCAAGGCGCAAAATCTCCAGGCGTCGCAGCGCCGTTGACGGGAACGCCACTACCTGCCGTGGCCAAGGTGGCTGCGGCAATTGGTGCAATCAGCCCCAACACCCGCATTCACGCTCCTGTCGGCCAATCTCGCCACACAACGGAGAGCAAAAGCGCGCAGGCCCAAAGGAACGGGGCGACAAGTCCTCCCCCGCCGGCCGCCCAGCTCGTCAGCGCCACCCTGCTGCCCTCGGGTAGGTAGCAAATGTATTCCCCCTCGAACCACAGGCCCCCCTCCTCGCCCTCCCCGCACCGTATGTCCCGAATGCACCGGTAGAGCGCCATGTCCGGCACAAACGCCTGGCCCCCCAACCTGTTAGAAACTTGCAGCCGAAAGAAGCCCTCAACGCATGTGTACTTCTTGAACAGCTCGGTGCCCGTGGGCCAGCCGAGCAGGCAGTCGAACATGGACCTGCGCCCGTCGGGCGTCAGGAAGGAGGGCAGGTGGGGCTTCGAAGTGTTTGCGGTCTCCGGCAGCGTAAGCTCGCACGACCTGTTGACGGCGTCCTTCAGCGGCAGCCCCAGGCGCGCGTTGAGGTCGCACGCCGTGGCGGTGAAAGACAGCGTCTCCACGCACGTTTGATTCTGGCAAGACATGTGGAACAGGGGCCGGGCCAGGCCCGGCTCCCGGCTGTCCCTGCCCCGGCAGCGCCGCATGCGCTGTATGGCCTCGCAGAAGCCGTCGAGGGTGGCCGCGGCGTCGGAGGAGAGGTCGGTCAGCGGGCAGTCGGCCGTCCTCCCCATGTACACGATGGGGCCGTGGTCGTCGATGCCCAGGAATTGGAGGACATCTTCGGCTTCCTGGGTTGTCATGCCGCCGGCGGACGGGGCGAGGAGGTGGCGGGAGGCGGTCCTGCTGCGTGCCTGCCAAGCCGACGTTTCCTGGAGCGGGAGGGCCAGAGGTGTGGAGTTCCTCGTTTTGATTGCATTTGTCACATGACAAAGCAAACTAAAATGCAAAGCACACTGGCAGTATATTGTCCATTTCAGACGACTGTTCATTGTGTTCAAATTGCGTAAAATGGGACCAAAACGCGTACTTGAGGTTTAAGCCATGTTAATGCATGGTCAACTCGTGTTCTCTTAACTGTCTCTTTGGTACCGTTTTCCGCCAGTGAATACCCTTGCACAACACCGGCGATGTCAGGCAATAGTCCCAACTACAAGTGTTCGTTCGATCCCACATAGTTTGGGAGGGCCAGAGGTGCGGGTCACAGCATGGGCTGGAATAGTGTCGGGAACTCTCTGCTCGTTGTGCTTGAGGGCTGGTTGTGAGGGCGATCTAAAATTGTGAGAGCAATCCGAAAGCAGATTGGATTGCAAAAGGACTGAACAAATAAAGGGCTTGCTGAAATGGGTGACAAGGACCAGCATGCGAATAGTATAACTACGACTGCAGTGCGCATGTTATGTGCACATGTGCACACATGCACGCATGAGTACACACATGCACATCAAGTACAGGCAGTTAAGCCAATGAGCATGGGGCCATGTCCAATGAAGATAATCCTTACATTGTCCTCACAACACACGCACACAGTCAAATTCTCACATGTTGCGGCCAACACACCAAGTCGGGTTAGCATTTAGAAACGGCAGAGTGCCATGCCATTAGTCACAATTGTAGTGTCATGTCATTAGGCACAATACTAGTGCCATCCCACTTGTCAAAATATTAGCACAGATGCAAGGTCTGGCCCATCGCCCTCACACTCAATTAACAAAATCGAGTCGAGTTCGAACAGGGCAACGCCCCCAGGTCAGCAGAAGGGCTAAAAGAGCCGAAGTCAACCCCGCTAGTTTCTCCCTTCTATCTTTCAGCTCCATCTTCCTTTCTTTCCCTTTCCCTTCTGTTTTTCTCCTTTCCTTTTAAACGCATGGAGAGGAATCAACGGCTAATCAGCAGTCACTCATGTATTGATATTTATTTCGCAGAGTTCCTGCAATCAATCTGTGCATTACTGTCAAAATGGAGATGAACCGGTTTCCCTCTGGGGTCTGTCATTGTCCAAGATGAAGCAAGCATCCATTCTGGTTTGCAGGGGGGTCGGATGGGTTTTGCAGGCTCTCACACTATGCTGCGTTTGATGCTTTGTACTTTCTGCGTTCTCTTCTTCTTATCATGTGCACCTTCGCATCAAATACACCGCTACGAACAACTCGAAGCGAAGAGGGATGTCTAGGGTGCAGAGAAAGGCAGGTTTGTCCGGCCAGAACGGCAAGAACGAAACACAGCCAATGCATGCCTGTAGTGCATTACCAACTGCTTCCTCCTTTGTCTCCACGTTTTCTTTCAATTCTGGATAGAGGTAGCACTTGCCAATTTCTCATCAATTTCACTTGGTACCATGAAAATGCATCAATAGCACTCGCAGAGTGCGAACAGAGACACCAAAATATGGGTCACGAACGGAAGGTGAACGGAACATCAAAGCCTCAAGCAGGGCACACAGCAACACACCTCTCGCCAGTCAGCCTGGGCCAGCGCCCCAGCGCCCCAGCTCGCTGCAAGGAACAGGAACCACCAACCCACTCCAACGGCGGCAAACATGTCAGTTCCGGGATGTGCAAGGCCTGCAGGGCATCACAGAAGTCAGAGTTTGGTCAACGATTCCAGCCAAGGGTTGTACGACGCGATTGCCGTCTCCGGCACACACAGTAAAACGCACGTCCAAATCCCGGTTAAAGATCCCATTCAATCAATCAACATCATCACTGCATTGGAGCGAGTCGTCCCTGACGAAACATCCACTCACACAAAATTCCTCATGGTTGGCGAAGGGGCCCCCGCGGCCCGCGTGATTCCCAAGAGCGCCCCAAACGCACCAGCAACCCCTCCCGCCAATGACGCCACACACACCACATCTCATCCCCAGCCACACCATCCGGAATCCGTGAAGCGGCAATCCCAGGCAACCCGCGGCCCTTCGGGCCAGCCCCTCGTCCCCGCACGCGCCCGCAAACCTCGCAGCGCCGAAAAGGGCTCAAAACGACGCCGCGAGAAAGGGCAAAACAACCAGACCCCAGCCAACAAAGCGCAAACCTATCCCCAATTCATGGATCGCCACCCACCGAGCCCGGCCAAGCCCGCTGCCACGCGGGCGATCCCGCCGTCCCATGATGCGCCATAATATCAGCGCATACAGGGGTCGCGCCCGCGGTTACTACTTAGCCCACGGACCTTAGCGCGTGTTTGGCGCAGCCTTGGAGATGCCCCCCTCGGTCTGGGGCCGCCGAGACCGGGGGATTGCGCTGGCGAACGTCCCAGGCTCCGCGCGGGATCGCGAATTGATTCGACGCCCAAGATTCTGCCGATCCTCGAAGGCTTCTGGGTTGACCGGGCACTGACCGGCGTTGACCGGCTGGGTGGCGCCGCCTGGGGCGCTGAGTCAGGGCAAGGGCGCTGGGGGCAGCTGCGGCGGGGAGCCGCTGGGGGTGGGCACAGGTTTGTGCAACCACGGACATCTGGGGTGTACCGGACCACCAGTACTTTGGGGCATGGGGTGTGAATTCGCGATGACATCAGGGGGAAGTGGCGGGGCGCGGGCTGAAGCGCGAATCTGGCAGTCTCGCTGAGAATGGGGTTTCTTCGAGGACAGCCGAGCTCCGCCATTAGTTTAATGGAGGTTTGTTCCAGAAGTTTCAGCGGATAGTTGAAGTCCGGTTTGTGCGTTTTTTTCAGCTGTTTTGGCGGTTGGTTGAAGTGTGGCTTGTCCGGTGTAAGAGCTACTAAAAGAGACGTGCAACATGCCGACAAGCACGGCCCCGGCAACGGAAGGGCTTCGGCGCTGGTTGGGTGCTCAGCGGCACAGGGAGTGACGCCGCATTCAACAGTGACAGAGCCGAATTCGTAACGCTGTGCTGCGAAGAGAGATGAGTTATTCGTTGACAAATGAGCGCCCCTTCAGGAAAGAGTGGTGCAATCCGGTGCTACGAACGCTAGGAAAAAAAGGGCAAAATAACACGTGTTCAAGCGTGTACAAAGTTTACGGGTTTGTGCTATTTTTGTGTTCTTAGCGTGTAGAACTTTGATGAAATGTGTTTTGTGTGTGTTCGCAAAAGTGTTATTTGGCCCCTTTTCTCCAAGTGGAAGTAATGCGCCTTGCACCACTTTTCCTAAAAGAGGGTTGCATCAGACGCAATGTGGAGTTTATGATCACTAGGAAAAAAGGGCAAAATAACACGTATTCCAACGTGTACGAAGTTTACGGGTTCGTGTTATTTTTGTGTTCTTAGCATGCAGAACTTTGAAATGCCTTTTATGTGTGTTCGCAAAAGCGTTATTTGGCCCTTTTTTCCTAGTGGATGCGAAATGCTGTGAACTTTGGCCGTGAGCTCACATGTGATGGCAAGGTCCAATCATGATTGGAATCCCAGCTTCTTGATCGCGAGTTGGAATGCAAGGACTGGTGAGGGCGGCTTTGCAGGTGGCAAGGAGTGGCCCCTCCACCCAGGATAATGACACCACAATGGCCATTCGCACGGGCCCGAAGTGGCTGCTGTATGACGCCGACACCGACCGGGACCCAGCTAAAACCCACACACCGAGATTTTGAGCACATTCATGATGATATCTGATTAGACGCAAGCGGTGTGGGTGCCGCGCTCGCGGTCAGGGCTATTTCTCCTTTCGTTTCAGCACAGATGCTCCATTGTCGGTTGTTTTGGCAGGCGGCTCCGTCATTCGGCGCAAGCGCAAAATGGCCATGAAGGGCAGCGCAAACCAAGGCGCCCTTGTCAAGGGCGCGATCGCCGCCACCATTCCCACCACCACGCTGGCCAACGCAAATCAGCAAGTGAGCAAACGACTGAAGAGCGTTTCCCGTCTTGAATTGCGGGAGGAGGCTGGCGAGGCCATGATGACAAGATCCAAGGCAACGACCAGACTGCTTCATGCCCTACCTATGGCAAGAGCCACAATTTTGCGACGGCAACTGCGATGCCACGTTGACATTAAGCGGCCCCACCACACTGATTGCGACAGCCTAAAATCACATGTGATGGCGACAGCAGCATCGACTGGCATCGCAGCTGGCACCGCCGAAATGTCGTTTGTAGCGGTTTGTGCTGTGCGACCATGTATCCAGTCAAATTGGTGTTGCCGCTGAGCGGGACCATGGGCCCAAGACTGGCGTTCTCGCTGATGCGCCCACAGCCTTGTCGGTGCGTTCCACAAGCATATGTTCTGTTGCACCCCAATTCGCGTGCCCCAGCAGCTCAGAAGGGCGCCATGGACCATCAATTGCAACAAGGCACGGTGTATAGACCCAACAGAATTCCGTGCTTGAAGTGCGGCGAATGGCGCAAGACAAGTTGCGAGTGGCCGAACCGAAACTTACAATTTAGCCCGCGGTTTGTACTCTAGAGGAAGCGATTCCTCACACCAACGGCGCCTGGTGCATCGCAAGCCTGCAAGCAGATCCAAGTTCAAACACTTTGGAACGAAAAATTACCGTAGTTTAATATATGAGTGTGTGCAGAAATTCACTCACATAAATCCATGGAGAGTCACTGTGGCGTTCGCAGCCGCTGACTTTACACTATTTGATTCAATTTGGCACTCCTGCACTTTAGCAAGCGATTTCAACAATTTAACATCATTTAGGCGTGGAATGGGATATGCCAAACGGCCTTATTTTCCATTTTCCATTTTCCAATATTCCAGTTTTACAGCCAGCTAATTGTTGTGCTATATATCTATTTGATATTAAGCCAAAAGCAAAGTACTGCTCCAGTGATTCACTTCTACTCAACGCGCAAGGGAATTTGGCGGCTTGCGGCAGACAGCTGAGTGAACATGAAGCCTGATATGTCAGATGAAATAAACAATATGCCACCAGTTTCTTTCCTGAAATGTCAATGATATTATCACAGCATGTGCATTTTGATGTATCAAAAGGGAAAGACAGAAAGTACTGACTAGAAGCTACCTCTGTAGTGTATTGCTGATGCAGATTTTGCTGTTTCGGGATTTTCTGTTTCTAAAAAGTTCATTTCGAATTGCGTCACTTATTCAACTACAGCCTGGCGAGCGATTTACACAAACGTAATTCCCACTTCACAGATTCCGTCAGGACGCTGCAGCTTCTGGCGCTTTCCCCTTGCGCCTCGCGGTTCATCTCACACATAGTCATTGCGCCTGCAAATGCGTCCCCCGCGCAGCAGCTCACAGAGAAAATTGCGGAACCGAACAGACGTGGCTGGCGTGCTTCAAAACTGGATGCCGCTATCCACACGGCGGCGGAGGCGATGGTGGTGTCGGAGAGCGCAATCCCGATGCAAACCTCCACCGTGGCCCGAAATGTCCTTATCACTTCGAAGTGATCGCTTCCATATCAGTCGCAGTTACGTGCGGGGCAACATGATGTTCGTCTTGCAGAGAGGACAGTTGTGCGACCGCTTACGATCGCGGCGTTTTGAGAACGCGGGGCAGCCATGAGCGACAATATTGTGGGTGTTGATGCGATGTGAGACAAGATAGGAAGGATGTAGCGCTCGCGCCTCTGTGCAAGCAGTAAGGATACCCTGAGCATGGCTACGCGACACAGCCTGTGTCCCACATTGGCACCAGGAGCATTTCCAGCGCTTCTCACGCAGCTTTAAAGAAAACATCGCAAGAGACGTCTCATGCTTGCCGCACTGGAAAAGGGAAAGAAATAGCTGTTTGGAGAGCCCAACTTGGTTCAATTTGAACACCGTTCAAACCTCTAATGAACGGTGTGGTCCCATTTAACACGGTTTGAACGCAGTTGGAAACGATGTGCTTGGTTCAATTTGAACACCATTCAAACCTGTAATGAACGGTGTGGTCCCATTTAACACAGTTTGAACGCAGTTGGAAACGATGTGAAATCGGCAGCACTTGCTAGCGCCACCCGCGCAAGCCACAGGGACGCCCGCAAATGCACAGTTCTGGTCCTTGAAGCCTTCCACCGTCGTGTTTGGCAGCAGCAAGTCCTTCCGAGCGAAGATATTTCATGAGCCCAGGGAGGTCATTAATTGAAGATCCATAACGAGCAGTGAGTTTAAGCGCACTCATGAATGTACGTTGTGTTGCATTATGACACATGAGTAATGGGTATGTTCGGATAGCATGTCAGAAGAATGGCAAAGTCCGAGCGATATTGCTTGTGTTGAAAAGGATTGAAGCGAATCCGAGCAGATCAGGGATGTTTGAGATTTCTGCACAACCAGATTTGCAGGGTGCATGTGGATTGCGTCTGCACACAGAATGGGCCCTATGAAGTGCCTATTTTAGATGTTTGGATGTGCGCCGGTGAACAGACTGAGATCGTCGAAGGACGGCGCCAACACCTTTGAGTAAAGGGCAAATACATTATTTAATAAACAAGATGGGCTGGCAGATTCGCCTCTGTTTGTCACCACATTGTTCCTGTGTGTCGTCACAATCACTGGCAACTGCCTTTCAGCGAGCACTTGGGTGTTGAGCGTTTGGGTGCCGTTTGAGTCGATCGATCTAAAGTGAGGGGTGAGTGAAGTTCCGATGGCGTGGGCTTTGTTGCCATTTTGGTGGCAAAAGTGAGCGTGAATCATCAGTATCTTAAAGATGCTTCAACGGACCCAGCCCTGCACAAGCAGAGGCAAATGGCATTTGCTGCAGAAGTCGGAATGCCCGCAGACCATGGCCTTGCACCGGCCAAACGACACCACGATACGAAGGGCGCGCATTGTAGCTAGCCAGTATGCTTAGGAAAGGCACTTTCTTTCCAATACTCAGACTATATCTCATTTGAGACACATCTCAAATGAGACGCTACCTTTCTATCTGAAATGAGTACTTGTCTCACCTTCAAAGAGAGACGTTATCTCTCTCAACAAGGGAGATTTGGAAGTGTCCAGCACAATCGACCGACCGCCTGAACAAACGCAGAGCCAGCCCCTCAAAGTTGGCAGAGTCAAGTTCACTGCCATCGTCGCGCAGCAACAAGCCCCATTCACGACCAACTGACGACACCAGCAAAAGGTGCCAGGCACCTGGCTGCAGGCCCTGCTCCACTCCAGCCGCCGCGCATGAGCGCGCCCAAGTCGCACAGACTCGTCACCCCTCCAGCCAATCAATCGGCGATCGAACCGCGAGCCGCGACATGTCGACGCTGCGACAAACCCGCCAACAATTGCCACGAAATTAGCCCCTCTGTCTTTCTGTGATTGTCGATTCTTGTTTCCACACCCCAGCCCACTGACCCACCGCCCGACGCTGGCTTTGTCAGCAGAAGAAGAAGGGGCCCTCACGGAAAAGACGTGGGGACTCGTATGTTCTCCTCAACATTGCGGAACGCCCCCGACTCCCGCTACTCAAAAAACGACACCACTGCCGGCTGTCAAATCGCGCGGGGGCCGTTAACCCCGCCGCAAAGCCCGGCCCGCCATCAATTCGAGCGAGCGACGTCAGAGGGCCACCCCCCCTGCTCCCCGACCGACTGTCGAAGTACCCCAGCCCCCAGTACATCCCCCAGAACGACCCATTGCTCCCCCCCACCCCCCACCCCTCCTGTCCCCACCACACGGTCATCTCGCAAGCCGAAAACCGCAGCAAGCTCCCCTTGCCCTTCTCAGGCGCCTTCAGTCCACCAAGACACCGCCGGCCGACCCAGCCAGAGCGGCCAACAAGCGCTGCGAGCCGCCGGGCTGCAAAAAAGTTGGTCCGCGGCTTCATTGGCGGGAGCCGAGGCGCGCAAGAGGCCACGGGGGGTGCGTGGGAGATCCTGCCCGGCGTGGATGCCTCACCTAGGGGCCCGGGAGGCGCGGAGGGCTGCCCAAACGGCGAGCAGCGGCGAAGGAACGCTCCAAGGCACGCCCCGCCATCCCCAGCCGCCCGCCTCGCTCAAGCCTTCTCACGATGGGGTGCCCCCTGTATGCTCTGCTTTTCCTTTCTCTTTGTACCAAATCTTCCCACACACTCCACACACATGCTTAGGATGGGGTGCCCCTTGCATGATATGTTTTTCTCTTTCATTTTGTGACAAACTTACCCGCACCCCCACCCCCAGCCCCCCGCCAGCCACCACTCCTGACACGCACATGCTCGGGAGTTGGTGCCATCTGCATGACTTTGTTCTCTTTCTCTTCATAACAAATCTTACCCAGCCCACCCACCCACCCCGCCCCACCCCCACACACACACTTCTCGCTGGTGACAGCAAGCGATTTGGGAAGACGTGGTCCTGCGTATGCCGTCTTCGTTGTACGAGAAGGGCGCGGTTCGATGGACTGTTGGACGGCGGCGGCGGCGGTGCGCGTCGGTGATTTCTGGGGTTTGCTGCGCGGAGTTTTCTGGGGCGACCACCCTAAAGAACGTTGGGAAGGGGCCGCCGGCCGTTGGAGAGAGCGGCTGGAGTCGCGCGGGTGTGCTTGAAAGCGAGTGTCGTACCTGACGGGAGGGCACCAGTGTTCGCGAATGGGAGTAGAGCGAGAGCGTCGAGGCCGAAACGTGCGGTACGCGGTCTTGGTGGTTGCGGTATGGGTACGATATCTTGCCAAGAATGTCCCTTGGCCGACGCTTTTTTTATTCCAGAATGTTGCATCACAATTCAGCGTCGGGGTGCCTCCCCCGCACTGTCACAAGATGTGTGGGCCTTGTGCCACACAGCAGTTCAAGGCAACGTAAGTTGATCGAATCCAAGGTATGCTCGGTCTCAGGAAAGGGAAAAGAGAAGTTCGCAAACGGAGAAGGGGGGGGGGGGCTGGCAGCTTGGCCGACGTCAGTGAAGCAAGGGGGACGGAGGGGGAGGGAAGCCCGAATGGTGGGGTGTGCGGTCTGCCAGCTCCGATATGGGGGGGATATTTTGGGGCGGAGCGTCGCTGGGCACAATTGTCACTTACCTGTGGCAACTTGGGGGGGGGGGGGGGGGGGGGGGGGGGGGGGGGGGGGGGGGGGGGGGCAATTGGTGTGGGCCTGGGGGGCCGTGGAAGCGAATGTCGCACTTTTTCTGCTGATGGGTGTGTGCCGATGTTTGTGAAGCACGAGGGGAACTGAGCGTGCCAGTGAACGCTGAGTAATGGGGTGGGCGCTTTGTTGGCTCCAATAGGGGTATGAAATTTTGGGCAGAATGTCTTCTGGCCGAATTGACGCTGACTCGTTTCAAAATTTGGGATGGGGCTGGGATGTCTGGGATGGTTAAATCAACGATGAGGCCATTTGACGGGGCGAGATGAGGGACGCGGGTCGCTGGTTGACATTGGATTGATTGGAATGTTTGTTGTCCCGTCCATTTGCTAATGCTGGAGTCCTTTGGCAGTCGGGATCCCCAGGACCCAAGGAAACGAACTGTCAAGGCAAGTATGAGGGTCAGTCTAGTATGATAGGCTGCCAGGTTAGTCGTTTCATGTGTTGAATATGAAACAGCGGAAAAAGGAGAGACAATGATGCAATTCATTGTGGCTGCACTGCTGTTGATGCTGCACCCAGCAACGCCTCAGTAAATCCCTACATTTCAACGTTGACAAGCGTTGCTGCGTGTGCCAGCTCTGTGTAATGCAGATACACTGACCTTGCTGCAGCATTAGTCAGCATTCCATAGGTGATATTGTAGAAACGCATTTGCATCAATTTCTAAAGAACTGCAGTTGAAGCATTTTCCGAAGGAAACACCCAGAAGAAGGTGGGAGCAAAACCACAGCAGCTTGTGGGGACACTGTCAGCTAAAAGCAGCAGCGGGTTCCCCCTGCAGTGGGTGGGTGGGTGGTGGTGGTGGTGGGTGGGGGAGGGGGGGAGGGGGCAGGGGGAGTTATCCATCTGGGGATGCAGGTATTGGGTGAATACTGTGAGTTAAATTTGAGCAAAACATCCAAGTGGAAAAGAGACGAAGATTAGGATTGAATTTGCGAATGCGGTTGTGGTTTCCGATCAGATGGATTGCAGTTGTCAGAACGGCAATTGAAAGCAAAGTCCTTGCAACTCACAGGTGCTGGCAGGCAGAGCGATGTCTTGTCAATAGTTGTTCAATGTACCAAGATCATCATTGCGCAATCCAACCGCAAGGAATATGTTTTGTTGGCAGTGCAAGACAGATATTAGTCCTTGCATCCTGAAGAAGATCATCGGCACAGCAGCATCCATGAATACTGTGTTCGTTTTCTTTGGGCTGGTTCCAGCATCTGTACGATCGAATGATGGGCAGCGCATGTAAATGGGGACACTCAACGCTCAGTCAACCTGCAGGTGCTCAAGATTTCATTCTTCAAAGACGAACTTCGAGCAAAGCCATTTACGGCACACAATCTTCCACCGTGGGACTATTTCCGAGCAGACAGTGACTGTTCGCCCACTATTCTTTGTACATTATACATATCGCTCATTTGACGCAACCCCAAGACATGTACCCCACAGTGCACACGACCTGCAGGAACTGTACACTTGCAATGCTAGAGTGCCATGAAACAAGTTGCAGACAGCGATGCCCTTCAGTCCTCCAACCTGTCAGTTGATCCCTTGCAGCAGCTTTGACTATATGTTGACTGTGCTGACAACATTCCTGGCATGCTTCTCCAGGCTGTGTGGTCGTGGCAAAGGGACAGGAGGTAGTGCCACAAAGGGGTTAGCTACCCCTTCCTCAACTACATAAGGAACGCCACTGGGAGACAGGATTGCCACTTTGCGGATTGTGGAGGAAGTGGCATGGGATATGAAAGTGGAGGCCTGTGAGGCCGCCGATCATAGCAATCCCAGCAAGGTAAGGTGAGCCTTTTATATGCCAGAATCTGGTGTTTTGGAGTAGGAAAGATGACATGCAGCTCATCTCACTGAAGTGCCCATGGCTGTCTTCCGTGCAAGTCTGTTGTGTTGGCTGAATGAACTATTGAGTGCGATGTTCGTATCTCAGTTTCGGTAATTTAACACTGCAGTGAACAACAACACTAGCACTGGCGTTCATACTGCTGGAATGCAGTAGTAATTATATGTACCAAGAATGCTCTGTACCAATGATCTGCAGCAGTCGTGATGATAAGTGCAGCGATACACCAGCGCGAACACTAACAATGCAAATAGTATGATGTACGGAAGAGAAGAATTACAGAACTACGAATGGGGAACAGAACAACAACAGTCTAAATCATGGCTGGATGGCCTGCAGAAATGGCACCTTGCCGTGGCGGCTATCTCCACTGGTTGGTTCTGTTCTTTATGAGCTGGTGTATTTGGGAGGTCCAGGCCAAGCAGTTTGAGGTGTGTTGTTGGGGTTGCCTTCCCTGGGCGTATGTCACAATAATTCCTTGCGTGGTTGGTGTATGGCAGATTGTGTGCAGATTACTTGAGCAGGATATGACATGGATGTGTATCGATCATATGCCATATGCTAATGTGGCCTCAAGGCAAGCAGACGCAGCCGTGTTCTTGGGCCAGTGTCCATCAGTGATGGAACGAGAGATGCATCAGCAAACCATGTGCTCTTCTTTCCCTGACAGTTCTAATAGGTCTTCGTTTGAAGTGCCCATTCTTACATTTTAACATGTGTGTGTATCGTGCTTATCATTTTGTTTTTCTCACAAACAATAAAAACGCTGTTCCATGCAACACAGTATGGCACATTCCTTTCATCTTCTCTGCTGTTTCAGTTGATTGGCATTGTTGTTCGTTCTGTTTGATTCTCTAATGCTTCCAAAATTGTCCTCCTGCCCTGTTCAGCCCACACACAGCAGCCAGGCTGCCCCCCTCCGGCACCTCCTGACCGTCTCTGCGGGCAACATCACCATCCAATCAGCAGAGGCAATACTGCGTGGCTACGGCATCGACACGTTTGGGCCCATCGTCTACATGGCCAAGACCCCCACCTGCCCCCTCGACCCCCTCCCCGCCAGCGCCCGGGCGCAGCTCTTCACCTTCTGCCAGACAAATGCCGCAGTGCGCAAATGCCGCAAGAAGGAGCGCCGTGACAGAGGCTCCTTAGGCCTGCGGCCCCCGCTGTTCCACATGGCCTGTCGAAACCAGACCTGCCTGGAGACCCTGACGGTTGGCGCCACATCCTGCGTGCTGAGGCGGACGCTGGACTTGCCGGCGACTCAGACTGTCAACACATCGTGCAGGCTGACTCTGCCCGACACAATGGACTCCTCCCAGCCCTTCACGCCCGTCTTCCTGCAGCCGGTCGGGGAGCGATCAGTCTTTGACTGCATCCTGGGGCTCCCAGTCGGCTCCAACCTGTCCAACAGGCTGTCCTGCAATGGTGGGTTCTTCAGGGCGGAGTCAAGGTTTCATTTAGGGGGGGAGGCCTTTTTGCCGCCAGAGGCCGATTTTCGATGCACGTGGGATGGACGGTGCCGAGAGGACAAGGGATGTTGCGCGGGGGACGCGCTGTTTGAAGGGGAATTCATTTGTTACCTGCCGGAGGGCGCCGTGGCGCCATCGATGGGATCTGGGGCGGGCCGGCAACTCCTAAGGGTTGCTGCGCTGCTGGCATGCCTCTTGGCTATTTTGTTGGCCCTGTCGTAGCCCTGGCAGAGGCCCCTGGTTGCTGTGTCGTTTGACAGCGGGAGCATGTGGGGTAAAATTGTAGCAGGATTTGGGACGTTCAGCGCTCCGGGATTGTGAGGGCCGTGCTGGGGCCGATGTGGGTATTGTGGCTGCTGGCCTGGCTCTGAGAATATGCCCTTGTTCCCGCCATCTTTTCATGCCAGATTGCTGGGCATTTCAAATAGTTCGGATCTAGCTAAGGGCACACTGGCTGCAGAAGGCGGAGGGAGTAGTTGGATATCAGGTTGCATCGTTGAGCCCAGGTTAAGGGTGGCGGTGGCATGAGCGAACCGAACTGCATCCGGCGAGTGTGGTGTTCTTCCTCATTGAACCTGCACGCTGGACTTGTGGCAGCTGGGGGTGGCTGCGCTGGCCTGCGGGGACTTCGGTAGCTGGGGATTTTGATAGCTGGGGCTGTTGCGTGTCTGCGGGGCAAATGTAATATCCGGGGTCGCATCAACCATTGCCTCAGTGGGGCGTTTACAACAGACTCTTCAGCCGCTAAGTGCGCCTTGCTAATAACGGGGCTGAACCGCCTTGACGTGCAGAAGACTGGGGAATCCCGCATCGGTGACGTCGTTGTAGAAAGCACGACGGGTATTGACCTCTGTAAAAGTTCCTTGGCCAACCCGGTTCCAGATCCTGCCCGTCACAATCGCCGCAATCGAATGCGCACAGCGATGGACCACAGCGCAGAACAGGCCAAACCTTTTTGGTTCGACCTCCGCGGCAACCTTGGTGCACGCGCTGCTCAAACGCACTGCCGCGCTTGGTCGAACAAGCAGCCAAGACTCAACTTGTCCTACAACTAAACCAAGAGAAGCCATGAAGAAAAAATACTACTGCCTGCACCAAATCGGTGACTGCTTGCACCAAGTCACGTGACACTTTGTCCTAACCTCAATTTTAGGGTTAGGTTTAGTTTCAGGGTGGTTTTTAGGGTTAGGGTTAGGGTTAGGACAGGTTTAGGTTTAGGGTTTAGGGTTTAGGTTTTAGGTTAGCTTAGTTTGGACGGATTTGGACATGATGTGCACGTGACTTGGTGCAAGAAGTCACCGATTTGGTGCAGCCAGTAATTTTATGCCAGCCATGAACAAGACTCAAGCTCTCTTTTAAAAACCAGAATGTGCCTCTTCTTCGCGCACCAGAACTCACACTCAGAACGGCAGACTGAACTCACACTTCACTCACGCACAACGCGCTAACCCGCAGCACCGACCCACAGCATCGACCCATGGCACCGACCCACAGCACCAATTCACGATGAGCAAAAATAGCAAAACCGAAGCTGACCGCTGGCCAGCCGTCCTCTCGCCGTCTCGATCAGGTCGACGAGTGCACCAGTCAGCCAGCACATGACCAGCTGCTTGCACAACATGATGGATGTGGCTGTCTTGGTGTGTCAGGCTTGCATTTCTTCAATCTGACCTCCAGTTCTGTTTTCACTTGTCCATTGAGCTTCACTGCACATTGGCGTTCAGCCACCGACCTCCAGCTACATAACCTGGAAAGTTGCAAGGGAAGCACCAGGAAGCAGTGGCAACCATTCAATTGCAATGTTGATAGCATCCGCGAAATGAAATTCTCAGATGTCATCATTCAATTTCCGGCATTGGATTACAAATCAGTAATTGGCGGAGCCAATTTAATGGTTAATTACCAGAAATTCGAACACCCTTGTGATCGCAATAGAGGGCACGGCGCAATGGTAATTGCACCTAATGATACACATAAACCATTCGGCAATTGCAAACTTCACAATCGAAATGCAACAGCCACGACAGCCACTGCCCTTTTGGACGCGCGACGATCCACTACTGTGCAACTGGAATCCTGGCCGGCAGGTTGCACAGCGCTTGGATGACGTAATGCCGCCACTCTGAAAACGGCCCATTTCGTCATGTTGCTGTGCGGCAAACTCGGGAGTGGGGGCATGGGACGTCAATGCATGGAATGGCATCCCCTGAGGCTGTCAGGACATTTTGGTTAGATCGAGAACAATACTTGCGATTGATGTTGGACTGAGTGTAGCGCGGGCCGCAACGAAATAAAATCAGGTGTGAGTCGCACACTACCTTGGATCTACAGCTTATGGTCCTGGATCAAACAGCCCCTGAACTGTGGCGGATGATGGATTCGAGGGTTTGCTCCTGGCACTTGTGCCAAAACCACCCAGCAGTGCAAAAACAAGTTGAAAGAAAAAGAAACACCGAACTCCTCGAAAATCAAAATCTGGGCCAAGATGCGCCCGTCCATCGTGCGCATCCAAATCCCTTTGCTCGTATTTGCATTCGAAAGGCAAAACTGTCCAGTAGCGCCTTGGAAACGATGAGGGTCCTGAAAATATCCCAAGACGCATGCCAGAACTTGCACAGCCCTTTCTTCCACTTTATGGCCACTCACCATGCGCCGAGCCTGGCTAAGAGCAGCACCCGTTGCGGCATTCCAGCCAGCGCGTTTGGTAAAGAGAAGCGGCGTGAGGCCCTGCACTTGGCTGCACTTGCTTCCACCATTCCTTTGGCGAAAAGGTGCGCCGAGCGCACCCATGTCCGTAAATTGAAGACGCCCAGCGTCTGTGCGCATGGAAACGCGCTGCCCTCTGCCACGCAAGCCTCGGAGATTTGGAAAACACGTTGGAAGTGTGCTGGGCGGCAGGTTGCCTCTCCTGACGCAGATCCATCCCTGGAGGAGGCAACTGGCTGTTTTTTCCTTCTTTTATTTGCAATTTTGCGACTTAGGCTGTTTTCCAGAAAAGAGAGGTAACGGGCTCAATCCTTCATAGCATTGGCTTGGATTACTGTTTCCCGAAAGGTCGCCACACTTTCGAGCCGAAAGTCTCGGGAAGAGTAGTCCAAGTCAAGACTGCAGATTGCCCAGTGATTGGGACAATACAAAAGGCGCCCGCAGTGCGTGGGAGGCGGGCAGCCGCCTAGCGCGCGCTGGCACTGAGACCGTCATCCTTGGGGCCTCTCGCTCCACCCCGGGGCTCCGTGGCACCTGCGTAACTGCATATGGCCAGGTCTGGATCAAATGGATCAGTTCAGATGCGGCCAAATCTGAAGCCTCTTAAGGAGGTCAACCAAAGGTCCAAGGTTCAACGCAGGGATTAGCTTCCTGGACTCTGTCTGGAGGCGAGCGAGGGAAGAAATCAGCCGTACAACTGCTGCCATTCAAGAAAAAACTTTCAAATGGAGGCCCCTGCCATGTGTACCGCGATTGCACGTATTAACGTAACACGGATGTGTGGAAAACAATCTAGCTGTACGGAGGCAAAGCATGCGCGCCACCGCGCTCTGAACTCCTGCGCCCCCAGCACAACGGGTCGTATCTTCGGACAGGCGTCAGATCTAGCACCTGTTCGTTCACCATGAGTCATGTACTCTCCACGCTCAAGGAAACACACAAGACCAACATGTGTGGCCCCCACAGCACCTCAGGCCTGAGGCGACCCGAACCCTGCAGGTTTGCCCTACGATTTTCCTAGGGTGGCTAAGAGAATCCTGTTCATGGCAAAATGCTATGAGGTCCAGTGACTGCTGAAATGCTGCCCTTTCTGCCCTTTTTTTGATGCCTTTTCTGACATGAATTTAGAGGTCAGAAAAGCAGGCTGAAATATTCTGAAGCGCATCGGGTATGCGCCGATTCTCGGGGACACTTGCCAGCACAACTGCGGTCGGTCGCCCACAGCATATTTGGTAGAGTGGCACCAGGATAGTTCGTTATAGCACTTTGATCGTTAATCCTTGCCCTCACCTACCTGCACGCAAGAGTGGTGGGCGTTCGCACAGTTTTCGGCAAAGAAGAATGTCTCCAGAAAGTGCACAGAATGTACCCGGAGGGTGGCCAGAAGTCTTAGGTAACACCAGGAACGGGAAAGACGCTATGGGAGAACAACGCTTTGTGTCTAGAACTCCGCAAAGCGTCGCCTGATTGGCGGCGGAGCAGTGTCTTGTCAGGATTTAATCATTATGGCCAACAATTTGTATTCCTGAAGGCAACAAAAGCTCTGTCAACGGGCCCTTATAGGTTACAAAGAGTGTTTACTTTGCTTGGTCAATAATTGATGGATAAATGTTTTGATAGATAATTGATTTTAGATAACTATATTGACACATTTTGAATATTTAGATCATAAAACTCTGTGATCGTGACAACCACGCAAGGTTGCCATGATATCCAGACATGTTGATGCTCACTAGTAAAAAACAGGCCAGATGACACAGTCCTGACATGGTTTGCTCAAAATCCAACTGTGTACTTTCGGCAAATGTGGTCCCAAAAGCACACAGTTAATACACACATTGACACAGTTCTAACCGTGCATCCAAGGAAACCGTGTAGTCTACACAGTTGTTTGAAGGTACACGGTTGAAACTGTGTCAATGTGTGTACTAACTGTGTGCTTTTGGGGCCACATTTGCCGAAAGCACACAGTTGGATTTTGAACAGACCGTGTCAGGACTGTGTCATCTGGCCTGTTTTTTCCTAGTGTGCTGATGCTGATGGCGACAACCGCTGACCAGTCAAATAGACGACGCTGATGCAGGTCCTGCACCGCATGCATTGCAGGCTTGTTGCTTGCGTTTATGTACTTAGGCGCAAAAACGCAAATATGCAAAAAGAATCTATATTTGCGGCTGCATTTACGTATTCGCGGCTTGCTGGGACACCCAGTTTACACGGTGAAAGTCGCAAACAATGATCAGTCCCCCGCTCCCTGGAGCATACGCAACATAGCGTCCAACTCACTATCGGCAACGACATCACCGAACAAAAGCCCGTTTTGTGCCCTGTCCAGCGCATCTGGCTAGCATTCCTGGGCCTTCTCAAGTCTGTACGTACTGTATTTATGTGCACGGGACTGTGCTTACCGTTAATTTACGTATTGTTCCGCCTGTTTGCACGTGAAAACATGCGAACTAATCTTACGTGCCAAAACGCAAAGTTTGCGTTTGTACGTACAAAAAGAGTATTCACGT